CGGAGGTCTCAAAACCATTTTTCATTCCTCCTCCCCTTTATACCAAGCGGGAGCACCCCCCAGAGAGCCCTCCTATGCCATTTTGGTCTAATCATACCTTTTTCCCGGGGAAGAAGGTCATGACCATTTTGTCTGGGGGGGGCCAGGGGGTGGACGCCCAGCTTCATATATCGCCTAAGAATGGTGCCGAGAACCTTAAGAGAGACGAAGATAGTCAGGAATGATGCTGAGGCGGCGGACACGGAAGCGGCGGCATCTCGTGGGCGACCAGCGAGAAGGGTTAGCCGTCGCGATAGCGATGATACGGAACATGAGCCATTGATGGATGGGGAGGTTACGATTAGCCAGGAGGGAGTGGACGAGGGTGATTTCCGCCCCTATGCGCACAGAGATATAAAACCAGGTATGTGTATATATGTATTTATGAATTCCACACAGTTTGAAGTTTCCTATTTACTACCAGCGGGAAAAAAAAAAAAAAAAAAAAAAAAAAAAAAAAAAAAAAAAAAATTCCACTGACCAAGTCAATTTCTCCTTCCACACAAAACAGGAAACATCATGATCGATGACGACGGCTTAACCCCAATTGTCATGGACCTAGGCTCCCTCGCTCCCAGCCCAATCGCGATAACTTCCCGGTCCCTCGCCCTAGCAGTCCAAGACACAGCCGCTGAGCACTCCACAATGCCCTACCGCGCCCCCGAACTCTTCGACGTGAAAACAGGATCCATCATCGATACTAAGGTCGACATCTGGTCACTTGGCTGCACCATATATGCGTGTCTGGTGGGGAAAAGCCCCTTCGAAGCGCGTAGTGAGGAGACGGGTGGTAGTTTGAGTATGTGCGTGCTAGGTGGTGATTGGAGGTTTCCGGATGAGAAGAGTGCTGGCCAAAAGGGAAAAGGTACTGCCAGCGCAGGCACTGGTAGTGCGGGTGTTGGTGAAGGGGAAGGAAGTGCGGCTGCTGTTGATGGCGAGACCGGTTCCCCCGCTAGGAAAGGGGGCATTAGCGAGGCGTCGAAGGAGGTGGTGAGGAGGTGTTTGCAGGTTGAGCCAGCTGATCGACCTGATGTTGATGAGTTGATTGAGCTTTTGAAGACTACTATTGAGAAGTTGCCGGATGACGAATGAAGCAGCTGTTGCTGTTTGGAAGTTTCATTTCTGTTTCTTCCTCTCTTTTCTTCTCGACGCGTTTCGTTTGTTTTGTTCTCTTTCTCCCACTCTTTGGGAGAAGGTTCTGGTCTTGTTTCTCAAAGCAAATGCAAATCCTATTCTGGGATTTCCCCTATCTATTCGCGTTTATGTTTTTTGTTCGTCTGCTACGGATATATTTTCTTGGTGCCATCTTCCCGTCGGCTTTCCGCTGCTTTCTATTATTCATTTACTTTTATGTACTTTTTAAAAGCTTGGGATCGGTTTGTGATGCTATACGAATGCCGACGTTCTTTTGTTTTCGTTGTTCCCTCCTTACCCACAGTCTGTGCTTGCTATTCTCTTTCTCCGTGTATATCTACTCTTAACGTCCCGTGAAATCTCGATATCAAAAATTGACAAGTTCCACGACTGGGGTATCTGTATAAGCAAACGAACTTCTTGTATCTGAATATCATGATATCATATAGCTCGTAATTTAATTTCCTCGTATAAGATGCGTACTAGCGGATGTGTGAAGTTCCCCAGCCCCTTTTCTCTTTCAAAAGCCTCCTTGGTTTATTTATTTTTGTTTGTTAATCTCCTTGTAAAAATGCAAAAGAAAAAGAAAAAGAAAAAACGCGAATGCAACAACACATTCCTTCCTCATTGAACTAATCTCTCCATATGAAAGCTACTCCGTCACCGCCAACTTCGTTAAATCACCCACAATCTTCTCCTCAAATCCATCGGACCCATCCTTATCTAACAACAGCGGCAACCCAACATGTTTGTTAATCCAATTAAGAACCGTCCGATGCCAGACAAGTGAATTCTCCGGCTTGACTACCCAATGGTTCTCATCAGGAAACATCAAAAACGCACTAGGCACGCCTCGCATCTGCAACACGTTAAATGCAGCCAACCCCTCCGCGATCGTGAGGCGGTAATCCAGCTCGTTATGAATAATCAGATGCGGAGTTTGCCACTTGTGGAGGAACAGCGAAGGGTCCCAGCGATCCCAGTTCTCAGACGCCTGCCAGTATACGCCCTTTAGATCGCGGATGGGAAAGTAGAGCTCTTCCGCTGCGAGGGAGAATTTCGTGCTAAATATCCCGTCATGCGTGACTAGGGCTTTGAAACGGCGGCCTAGCTCGTGGCCTTGGATCCAATTCACCATGAAGCCGCCGTAGGAGGCACCCAAGGCAACGGCACGGGTAGTGTCGACGAAGTCGAGCTCCTGTTCGATGTAGTCGAAGCCGCGTACGATGTCTTCGTAGGGTTTACCGCCCCACTGGTTCTGGATGGCATCTGTAAATGCCTGGCCGTACCCGGTGCTGCCTGTGGGATTGGGTGCGACAACAACGTAACCTTGCTCTGCGAAGACTGCAGGATTCCAGCGCGTGTTCCATTGGTTGTTCCATGCACCCTGGGGTCCGCCGTGTATGAGGTAGCAGAGAGGATATTTCTTCTTCGGGTCGAAGTTTGATGGCTTGATTACCCATGCGTGAATGGGATGTTCGTCTGCTCCTTTCCACCAGATGTCGGTGACTTGATTCGCCGATAGGCCAAGCGACGTACCGTTCCGTGAGCTTGAGCAGATAACTCTGGGTTCTTGGTTGGGTTTCGACAAGTCTAATACGGAGAATTCACTGTTCTCCACGAAGCTTGTGGTCGTTAAAAACAACTTGTTGGACAGTGGTGCGACATGCGTTACGTATCCGGAACAGACCAGTTCGAA